TTATTTAAATATCCTCATTCTATTCTCTTGTACTCTACCAAATTTTTTTTCCTTCCAGATTAAACCTAAATATCCTTATCCGAAAATAAAATAAATATTAGAAAATTTTTATGTAAAGATTAATATATAAATATTATTTTTGTTTACATCTCAGAAAAAAATAAAGAAGGAAAAGAGAACTAATGAACGGGAATAAATATATATAAAAATTAATATATAGATGTTATTTAGTAAATACATCGACATTATTATTTTTTTACTACTTTTGGATACCACAACCATCTATTTGTCTAAGTGGATTACACAACCATGGGAGCACTACATTTTCTTAACTTCATCATTAATGACTTCCCAGAATTTATAAAAGGAACCTGTATATATACTGTACGGATGGTTACAAATTACAGTTCGCAAAAATATATTTATTGGTAACAAACGTACCGGAGCAAAGGTATTGTGCACAGCGGTGGTTGGAATTCTTGGTGAAAAGAAAAGAATTGGGGATAATGATGGAATGTCTTGAGCGAAAGCACGAGAGATCCAAAAGCGACACTGAAAAACCTTTTCAAGAAAATATTTGGGGAAAAGTCACTAAAAATTCAAATAGTGGCTGGGGAGATGTGGGTGGGATTCTGGTCTAAACAGGGAAGTGATAACAGTGGAGAACCAAGGCTGAAGGGATACTGGCAGCAAGGAATAGCCTAATGGGGCACAAAAAAGGGAACACGGACGTGTAAAACGAAAATATCAAACCAAAATAAGGGGAAAACAACCATAAGGAAACTCAACAGGGAAATCTAAAAATAAAAAATCCTAATGCCAACATAAAAAAATAATAAAAAAATAAAATAAATAAAAAATAAAAATGGGATAAAAAGGTGCTTTCAGTACAATTCCCCAAAAATCTAGAACAGGAACAGAGTCCAAAATACCACCAAATGTCTAAAACGACATCCAAAACCAAAAACACCAAAGTCTTTTCCTTTTTTTGATAGAAAGAGACAGAACAATATTACTTCAAACTTAAGACCTGGGGTAACAGACCCCTACATGATCAGCAGTACACAAAAGGTCCACCTCCGGTGGACATTCATACAAAATATTCAAACCATGGGAAATAAGGACCCCTTTTTTGGAAAGAGCATCAGCAGCAATATTGGCTTTCCCCAACACATTGTTCACTCAGACTTGAGAAATCATGCAAGTCATAATAAGAGTGCTATAAGGGTGGGAGATGTTAGGTGCACCAGACAAAAGCAAATATGCAACCTGACAATCAGTTTCCACAATAACGTTATGAAAGTGGTGGTTCACAGCAATATTAAGACCATCTCTAATAGCATACAATTCTGCACCAAAGTCATTTATTTTTGAAAAATGTCGACTGTCATGCGTAAGAAAATGACAATCAAACCAAACATTTAAAGATTGCACTACTCATGATTCAATCAACAATATTTTAACAAAAAAATCATACCAAATTGTTGAAACCAAACCAAAAAAACAGTCCAAATCAAACAATATTCCCTGACGAGGTAACACTGCAAGGTTAATTGCTTCCTAAAAGGCCAATAAACGGTTGAGAAAACAAATTTAAAACTGGAAAAATTTAACTGCAAACAGGAATAAGAAGAGAAAATGAAAACCTCCCTCCTTAAAAGCCTCCTTTGATGATAATGATGGAATGTCTCGAGTCAAACTCCAAATAAACCAGGAAATCTACAAACCAAATTCTTTGTTCAAAAGCCAACTCTGCAACTCCTGCTGTTCAGCCAGATAGAAGGGGCCAGATAGAAAGGGCATTTTCTTGTAGCTGTTTGATATCAATGATGTTGTATTGTTGTATGTCTCCTGCATACAATTCCATAATGTGATCATTAATAATTAATTTCCATATATTTTTTTGGTAAAAAATTAATTTCCATATATGATGTAAACTAATAGAAACATAAACCCATGGGAAGCAAATGTGAACTTTAAAAGTAACATGCCATTTACATATAATTCAGAAATAGATACAAGTAACTTGCAAGTTTTACTCCATGCATTCCTAGATGTTAACATCAAAATCTGAATATGGAAAAAATTATGTGCAAATAATAGAAAGCATGAGAAAAAGGACCTAAGCTTGAGCAGTTTCCATGTGGCACCGGGGACAGGAAGATATCTTTGTAGCAGTGGATCCATAACCAACCTATGAGCATATCCAGTCTGATTATGGATCTACTTCTCCATTTCTCTCTCACCTCTTGACGGTGATCCATCCCCTATTACTCATTTCCAGAACTAAAACAAAACAATTTTCATTAAATCATATTCTGCTTTGATAATAATTAGCATGTTTTACACAATAGTGTTTAAAAAAAATCAAAGAAAAATAAAATAAAAAATAAAGGCTAACATAAATCCACACCTTGCATCTTTCACAAAGGTTTTTATTTTTTTATTTTATTTTTTTATTTTTATTAGTTATCCAGGACAACAACCACATGGAAAATGTAAATTTTTCTATCTCAAATTCCATTCATGGTGAAATCAAGAGTGATCACTATGAAAATAAAAAAAATTCGAGGATATGATAAGCTATTGGTAAACAATTCTATATATAAATATGATGAAACTATTAAGTTTCGCAGTTTAATGGAGAGGAGTAATAACAGTCACAACCCAGAAAATAGAAATTGTGGATGATTACAATGTGTGCCCACTTGAGGACTATCTTGATAGGCAACTGGAATTCCTCTCTTTGCTACTTGCAGTCACTGTCTCACTATAGTGTAGACATGCAAAAAATAAGGCAAGTCAAATTTAGGCAAAAAACTTAACACATTCAAGTCTCTTTGCAAATAATAAAATTCCAATGCTTACAAAGTTCTCAGTCAATCTCTCACCTGTCTAAATACAAAGAGAACTTGAACCACACAACCATAAGATTGAGCACATCTTAAATTCAGAAGCATATAAGACTAAAAATAACAAAAAATAAAATCTATAAGTCAATGTTCTTCGCAAATGATCAACAATATACATAGGCTCTAACCTTACCAGGTCATAATCAAATATAGCAAGAAAACTCTTACACAATACATTTTTTCCAATTTGTATAAACATATCATATTGGATTACAGTTTATTAGTAACTAAATTCACAGAGAGGACTTGATAATAACGCCAAGTGTTCACGGGTTTACATCTTTAAATTCTTAACATGTAATGAAATAGGAAAAAAAAAAAGAAAAAAAGAAAAAAGGAAACCATAAAACAAAAGCTCACAGTTCATATAGAAGTTTTGCAATGAGATTTGATTTAAAAAAAAAAAATTGGGTGACATATATTAATTAATGATCAGTTTTGTCTCCTGATTCTATGTTTTATCTCCTCATCACTTTCCGGCTACAATCCGAGAATCCAAACGACACAGGAATTGTGGTAATTTCATTATGATCTTCAAAGTAATAAACCATGCACCTCAGCTGGACTACCAAATTTAGACTTACAACCGCATCGATTTTTTTTTTTTTAATAAAATCAGGTAAGAAACAATGTTACCACAATTCTCATACACAAATGTTTCTAATCAAATAATATTTTAAAGCATGAAAATACTTGAGATAGATATATGTGAAATCCAAATAAGTTCATATGTACAAGAAAATAGATAATAAATCTAGTGAAAAATGTCATTTTAACATAATGTATATCTTCTCCATCCAATATAACTCATCTATGAAATGAAATTTTTTGGAGAATATCAAAAGTAGGATGAAAAAAATTTAAAACTCTTTACAGAAGAATAAAAAAAAAAAAAGAAAGAAAGAAAAATTCCACTTTACTTTTTCATACAACCAACAATGAACAACACCATTAAGGGATGAGTTTTATTAGTAGATACTGTCTTCTAGTTAGTGAAAATTTATAGAATTCAAAAAGATAAGGTAAATGCTAACTATGGCTACCATAGTTCATAAACCACAATGTTTGATAATTT